TAGTTATAAGTACAAATAAGAGCCTGAACATTTGTTCGAATAGAAAAGTTTTATACTTTGTTAAGATATGTAAACTGATAGTAAATAAAGATCTACTAGCTATTATGGTGATTAAAATGTTAAGAATATCAACTACCATTCTTGAAAGAATTGAAAATTGATTTTAATTGTTCTTCCGCAAGTCCAAGACATCTAATTCTTTTCAATTATCTAGCTTGAGTATTGATTCTTCTAACTATTTTTCTAATTTAAACTTATTCATAAAGACTAATATATAACTTTGTAAATATGCTGATAATAATAAAAAAAATAAACGGGCTTAAAAGGGTTAGCTTTTGGTCTTAAAGGGTTGGCCTTTTTGTTTTTGAGTCCTATAGGACTAACCCTTTTAAACCCAATTTCTTTTTAAACCACCTAAAATACAAACCCGACCTTCTATTTAAAAAAGCTTAAATAGACTAGTTTGATAGGCTTGACCTGTTTTGACGGCTCTAAAAATCCTCTTGTTATTCTTGAATAAAAACTAGAAATAAAAAGAATTGGTCGGTGTCCCATTTCTCTCTCATCCTCATCATCTAAACACCGGCTCAGACCCCCTTAACCGATTTTCTGTCCCTCTACATCAGTTCCCGACGCGAGTCTTCTCTTTTATCCCCCCCCCCCCCTAATGACACTCCCCCGATTGCCCTTCATCCCAAGCGGGCTACACTTTTCTGTTCCTAGTAGTCTTTCTCTATCCACTTCAGAGCTCATCCTCATGTTTCTCTTCCCCCCACTCATTCTCATTCGCACTCCCATCTCCGTAAGTTTTCTCTTGTCTTTTCCATTTGACTATACTATTGATTTCATTGCGATGTATGCTGAACTGGGTTTATCGTAGTTTTGGTTATTTTGTGAGGACTTTTTAGTTTTCGGTAGTCTGCATTGCCCTTGTTGTTGATATGTGCTACAAAAATATATTCAAAGGAAGTCAGTTTGTTTCTTTTTGAATATTTGGGATTTAGATAGATATTGTTCTCAGTCCCTGTCACTGTGGTCACTGAATCGTGTAGTTGATATGCGACATATGGGACAAATTATCATTTTTGAGTTACCGTTGGGTGTTATGACGATTATGCATTTGTGTTTAGTCTTTTCCCATTTTGACATCAACTGCCGTTCCAATTTGGCTACCGAAGCCATTTTTATTTCTTAATTTGTTTGTGCTTCTTCAATGCTAGAGCAAATTGGTTGTGATAGATTGCCTTAATCATATTTCTAAGAAACTTAATCTAGTTAAATTTCTGAAGGAAAAAAATGAAAATGAAGAGTTTGAAAGAGGAAAGTTTATTTCTATTGTATGTATTTTCTCAAGGATCACCAATACTTTAACAATTTGATATTTCTGAAGAAAAATGGAAATAGTGAAGAACTTGAAAAATGAAAGCAAAGTCTTTTTATTTCTACCCATATAAGAAACCATCCTAGGAATTGGAAATTATGTATAGTCTATAGCACATTGACCTTTGTCTTGTTTTAGAGTTCCTTCCTCTTATTTTGAACGTACTTGTGCCTGGACACTATTATAACAAAATTGCTATTGTGGGCTTGATTCTAGTTACTTGTAGAGAAAATATGAGGTAAAATTAGTTTTGGACATTATTTGGATTTCACATAGTTGATATATGCGAATTAGGGAGAGTCATACATAACTCATTTTACTAAGTTGGATGAAAACTCCACGGTTACCTCTCTAGCTGTAGTGATGTGCTGAATTGCCATTGACTCTGTTTTGTAATGGCTAGATTAGGTGGGTACTTTCTGACTCCTATTGTTCTCTGACTGATTGAATTGATCTGATCAAATTGGTTCCCTTGAGCATTTGTTCACTTCTAATTTTCGTATACAGATAATAATTTCCTTGAAGAAACCTGACCTTCTATAATTTAAGTGGTATTTTCATTTGAATATGTTATTGACAATATTCATGAATTGCTTCAAAACTATTCAAAAGCTGCTAGCATGAAGAGTGATCACATACATAGTTTAATTAGTGAGTGAGGAACGTCCTCTATTTTTCACTGTTTGTACTCTGTTGTAACAGTTAGTACTGCAATTAGATTTTAACATGATTTTTTGTTGGAATTTTAAATATGCAGCGAAAAACAGAGAAACTCTATGTTTCCAGGCACATTGTCTTTTATCTGCCATGTCTCCTTCTACCTCATCGTCAACTGAATCAACAGCAATTCTCAGTTTGGAAAAGTTGGCATTAGCTCCAATAGATGGTAATTCTGATGCGGTCACTACAAACAGACCATGGACATATGTTGGTACAACTGGTCCACCCACAGAGGTTAGATTACACAATTATATTTTGACATAGTTATTATATCAATTCCATGATTGTCTGATCAACACAAAATGTTACATTTGCTGAAAGCAATGTATTCCTAATTGTGTGCATTTGAGGTATTTAATGGACAAACTAGTTCAAGTTAATTGTGCATGCACACCTAGTGATGTTGAATTGCAACGTGATATACTGTGATTGGATTTGTCTTGTGTACTGTTGCATTAGAACTATACTATAATAATGTTGAAAAACGTCAAGTACCCTTTTTTATTAATTTTTTTGGGCCATATGCAATTGAATTTCACCATTTGCTTTATTTTTTTGGTCAATAGAATTTCTCTTGCTTTATCAGTCGCCCTTCATTTTGGTTTGTGTTAACCAGTGTTGTTATGAAATGTAAATTTTCTATTTTGTTATATGCAGATGTGTTGATATTTAATTTGTGAGTTGTGACCAAGTTCTTAATTTTGGAGTATTTCCAAAGTTTTTAAGTCATGCAAAATGTTTAATATAGCTAATTAGCTTTATGCTATTAATCAGGCAAGCTTTAAAGCAACTTTAGCTACAGAATCTCTTATTACTAGTGAAGAGGCTGTAATAGCTGCTGCTGCTTCTGAAGCTGTTGCCCTTGCTAAAGCAGCTTTGAAGGTTGCAAAGGATGCAGCTATGCTAGCCAAAAATAAGTCCCCAGCACATCGGAGTATAAACCGTCTATTTCTTCCAAACCTGATAACTTACTTCTTAAATGGATTCAACGTATGGAAGCTGAAGATGGTCTAGTGGGAGGATCCATGGGCACTGAAGCAGAGACAATGCGAGACGGTAGCATAAATAATAATGAAGAGGAGTCTGATGATGTGGGACCGACAAATGAGGAACTTGAGCATCTGGAGGGACAGCTTTTTGGCACCATAGCTAAGGTCGAAGCGCCAAACTGAATGCAAAGCTAGAATAGCCAGGGCAGCTGAGAGGGCTTCCACAAATATTCTATCAAGTCTGGATCTTCTAGCCGTAAGAAACGTGCTGCTATGCAAGAAGTAGACTATACTGATCCATTACGATATTTGAGAGCAGCAACTAGCACTACTAAACTTTTTAGTCCAACTGAAGAACTTGAGCTATCTGAAGGAATACAGGTATGATTTGCATATAGTGACGTTCATGTCTATGATGCTAATCACTTGATATTTAGCAGATAATCTTCATTGAGCTGTTTCTTTTTTTCCCCTTTTTTAATGTATCTTGGGCATCTATGTTAGTTGTCATTCAAAAAATTTTCGAATTGGCGCCAGCCTTTTTGAGATATAGTGTTTAGCACCACTAACTGTATTTCTTATTAGTTGCTTCAAATGATTTACTTTAGATTAGTAGCTATGTTCTAAAGCTTGGTTAAATTTCTTTCTGGTTCTTTTAATTTTTGTTTTGCTGGCATTTAATGGAATTTAGAAACTGCTACCTCAAAATGAAGAAGATTTTGTTTGCTGCTAGACTTGTCTCAAAATTCTCATAGCTATGTAATGTTTCTCAAATTTTGTCCTTAATTGTAGTCACCGATAGAGGTGTACATTACTTCTGTGTTGTTAAGAATTGAGGATACAGGGAAGCTTTTCAAGCTCTCCCTTTAGTCATCTGTTCTGTAAGTGGAGAGCAGAAAAGGAAAAAAGAAGTTAAAAAATAAATATTATTATTAATGTAATAATAATAGAGCTACTCGTAAATAAATATCACCATCATAAGATGTCGTGACTTTGTAGAGCTTTCAAGATTTGAAGTCATAAAGTATCACTGGAGAACTAGAAGTATCTTTTTCATTGTGGATTAAATTTCTCTATTCATTTTATAGCCTATCTTATTTTCCTTTTCTATATTTCAGGACCTACTAAAGTTGGAAAAACTCCAGGATGATCTAGCAGAAAGATGTAGCAGTCCGCCAACATTCGCTCAATGGGCTGCAGTGGATCAGAAAACCTTGAGAAAGCGCTTAAATTATGGCACCTTTTGCAAGGGCAAAATGATTTAGAGTAATATAGGGCTTGTCATATCAATTGCTAAAAATTATCAGGGAGCTGGAATGAATCTCCAAGATCTTGTCCAGGTTTTTGTCTCACCAGTATACTCTTGTGGTAAATAGATATTGTCAGAGGTAAATCCCATTTTAGTCCTCCAAGAATTACTCAAGTATCAGTTTGCTCCATATAACATTTTGTGCCACTTTGTTGTTTGAAAGATTGCTTTTATTTCAATTCCATGGAACATCTAACTCTTGAAAGATTGTATAGTAGTACCGCCATACTTTCAAGTACTATAATAATACTCAAATTCTCTGAGGGAGCAAATTGAATGTGTCACACCCCAATTTTTTTTTGAGGTAACCGACAAGGAATATGAGAAATCTCACATTCCCGAGCCTTCTCTTTCACTAACAATTAACATCCACTATAAATAAGTCATATAACCAAAATAATAAACTATTTGTAGAAATTTCAGCAAGGTCTTCATGATAAATCAGACTCCCTGAAAGTTCTACAATGGCCTGCATGTTTAAAACAGTATTCGGGGTATATAATTACATCCTAATTTATCTCAAAAGACTAGGATCTAACTCTAGATTTCGTGGAGCACATACTACAAAATTAAATACATAAGTGTACTCTTGGGCTTACATTAGTTAACAACTATTCAAAATAGATTTAGAGGTTCTGGATCTTCACTGAGGCTCTTCACTGCTCAGCTGGAGGGACAGGGTCTGCGGTGCTATCTGAAGCCAAAATAATCTAACAGTGAATAACATCCCATTATAATATCTAATAAAATATTAGGAACTAAATAAAATAAATTTAACTTTGATAGATTAATGGTAAGAATTAAAATACAATCCTAAATTTAAAAGGGTAAGTATATACTTGAACTCATTAAACAATTAAATCAAATCAAACTTCATAATAGGATAACTTGATACGTGAAAATGATAGAAAACATCATTCTATTTATTATTATTATTTTCTTCAAATCTTGTCTTTTCGTAGGACCTTAACAGAACGGGGTAACAAGCGTAGCCTAAAGCCACGAGTACAAGCGTGGACACACAGTCCACGAGGGTGAGTAACAAAACAAGCGTAGCCGAAGCCACGAAACAAGCACGGGGACAATGCCCATGAATATCAAGCGAGCTCGAGATTTCCATGGCGCGCTAAGGACTAACAGTACTGCTGTTAGTCATCAGTGTTCTGTATTCGATCCTCCAAGAAAAACTCACAAGCATGCATAGATCACTTCATCACTAACTTAATAGAGGAAGAATATATATAAAGTTTTCTAATAATGGAATCCTTTAAAAGTATATATATATATATATATATATATATTGTAACAAATGATCCCAACATGAAGATTCTCAAATAACATTTTTAAAACTCCTGTTCGAGTTCTAAGCATAAATATTTATTAATTACAAAATGTTGATTAACATATCACAATTGGCACTTTATTCAACATAAGAAGCAAAAGAATTTCTCTAAACAGCAAAACAATAAGACATTAAATAATTAAGATTGAAAAATGATAGAATTTACTTTAAATTACCTAGATAAACTATTTGGCAACAAAAATGATAATTTAACTAGATTAATAACAAGTAGTAAAAGTTTTTCCTCTTTTTTCCCCCCTTAAACCATAGTAATGGGATACTATTCACTCACTTGACAAGTTCCCACAATAATACTTAAATTTAATCATGTCCGTAATAGGAACTCTCCTCAATCCCCTAAAGTCCAAAAACCAAAAAAAAAAATCACTACTCAAGTCAAAATTTATATACAAGTTTTCACAATAACTAGATAGATAAACTTCAAGAACCATCTTAAATAAACATTCTAACAACTGTAGAACCCACTATTTTGACCCCCAATATTCCAATAGCTCTTATAGGATGGGCATTACACTTTTAAATTTATCCCACAAGATTTACTGTATTGGGTGCCATTTTCAACATACCATCCTCATCTAATTAAACCCAACACACAAGAGAGCAATTTAACTTGGTCCTTAAATGACAAATCACATTTTTACGTTGATCTTCAATTCTCCCGTTACTTGAATACCATCAACATTGCAATCATAAACTCCAACTACTCACCTTACAGCCCACAATTCACCATCGTCATCAATCTTTCAACCCATTAAAGATCATGCAATCATTCAAACTCATCCACCGAACAAGCATCTTGGCTCAATAGATAAAGCATGACTTCTAAGCAAACCCTCTTCCCAAACATTTCTACAAACACCTTATATGCAGCAATAATTAAACAAGATGACCAAGCATATTAATCCACCGTTCCAGCCTTAATAACTTCATAACAGCGACAACAAACTGAAAATTTCACAGCCTAACACACTTATAAACATTAAATCCAAAACAGAGGAATAAAATGCAAGAGAACCAACTCATCTCCATCACTGACAGCGGCACACTAAGAATCTAGAGGAGAGGAAGATAAAGATCGCGTCAATGGTCAGACAAGAGTAAGAAAAGACGAACTCCAAACCTTTTAACCACCAAAAATTGAACAAAGCAAGCGACAAAAATGGCACAGCAAAGCTGGAAAAGTTCAGAACTGAAGCAAGCCCAAAAGAATCACAATGCCATGTTGGTCACAGCAACTTTGACAGCAAGGAATGGTAGGAGGAGCGACGAACCAAAGGAGGGAGAGTGGAGGGTTAGGGTTTGAAGTTCATGACTCATTCTCTCAATTCCTCCTCTCTCTCGTCGAAGTTAAAGCACTAGAAGAGGAAAAACAACGTAGCAATCTCTCTGGTTTTTTTTTAACTAGGGTATTTAAGTAATTTTTCCTATAGAACTGAGCAAAATAAATTCTCCGTTAAACAAGGCCGGGGTTCGAACCTGGAACCTCTGGCTTCCTTAGCAAACTTTATTACCATCTATTTCCAAACTCTGTTTAGTACTCAAGCTACAACAATTAATATAAGTATTAATTAATTTATTATGAAAATTTTAAAGATATTACATTGTTTGGGTCATCTTTAGTGGACTAATATAGGAAGTAATTAAAATATCATGTTAAGCGTGGTGATGATGACCTTGATGCTTCTAGTAATGAGTATCTTATGCTTTTCCTTATTGACTTACAGGAAGGATGTCAAGGCCTTGTGAGAGGTGCTGAGAAGTATGATGCTTCAAAGGGTTTTAAGTTCTCCACCTATGCTCACTGGTGGATTAAACAAACTGTTCGGAAATCACTTTCTGATCAGTCAAGGACAATTTGCTTACCGGTGAGTAATCTGTGATTGTTGAATGATGATTAATTTCTCCTTAACCATGTATCTAAGTAGTTCCTATGCTACATATAATTTGTTCAAATGAATTGATTTGTGTTGTTCTTGGCTCAACAGCTCCACATGGTGGAGGCATCTTACAGGGTGAAGGAAGCAAGAAAATAATTGCATAGTGAAAATGGAAGACAGCCTGATGATGAAGAAATCGCTGAGGCCGGTGGACTGTCCATGAAGAGGCTAAATGCTGTTCTTATGACCCCAAAAGCTCCTTGATCACTGGAACAAAAGTTTGGGATCAACCAGAATCTTAAACCTTCGGTCTATCCTAATCTTATTCAAACTTTTCCCATTCAAATATCAATACTCTTCTGTCTTGTTGTTATGGTTGTAAGAATATTGAAAAGCTTGGGGAGGATATAGAGTAAATAGAATCTTTGATGCCTCTAGTTGCTTCTACATTAAGACAAGTTCCCTATTCTTTAGTGAGATTAAAAAGCATTTTATATCTATCTGTTTGTGGTCATGAAAGATTATCACATTATGTGATTCCTCATCTCTACCTGTCCTGGATGTCCCCAGCAAATAATCCACTACCTCGCATTCCAACAGGAGCGCACGCCATCATCAATTTTGTGGAATATGTTAAACCGTTTCTGTGGTCGTCATTTAACAATTCCCAATGGTGAGCCAAAGCAACAGGATCTTTTGTTGGAAGATGGGTTGGGAATTCCTGCTTCATTGTATGCCACCGGTTGCATGGATGTCTCGAGGCTTGAAAGTTCTTTGGGATGTCTTTAAATTCGAATTGGAAAGAATTCTCAAGTCTTCTATGCACTTTCAGAAAGGGTTTCACAGATTCTCTCTTTCTAGATTCTTTTTTTTGGGGGGGGGGGGGGAGATTTCTACTTGCTATTATATGGTCAAATTAGAGGTTATGTTTCTTTTCTTGTGCAGGGGTTGAATCTAAAAAAGTATGGTGATGATTATCTCCCTAGTGATAATTTTCCCTATTAGCTAACTATCAATAGAGAAGGAGATTCTATACAATCTGAAGTGTCTTCAGTTAATAGTCGCGATGATTTAAAAGAGATGATTATTTATTGTGTATATTTCCCCTCAAGTGATTTGGATAAGAAGATGTGTGAATCTTGTATATTCAGCTTAATGATAATAAATTATACTAAGCGAACCCTTTTGGTGTACACTGAAGACAAACTAAATTCGTCAAAAAAAAGCAGAGGGAAAGGAAATAATATCAAATCTAGAATCTGATGACCAAATGGAGGTGAAAGCAATTTTTGGGAATGGATTCACTATGAACCAAGGAGCTGTCTACTTGATATATAATGAGTGCCTTGATGAACCGATGGAGCCTTCACCATCCAAAGCCGCAAATTTAATTGGCACCAAACACAAATGTGAGGAGGAGGAGCATTTGAAATTTGGATACTTTCCTCCGTTTTTGGCTACAACACTTTTAATTGTTTTTCTTTTCTGGTCACGACACTTTTCATGAAGTCAATATTTCATCTCAGATATGCATGGTTGTACATAGAGCATTATATTCTCCCATTTGTGGTTTTCTTTTTACATAAAATGTCGTGTGATTTTCCTTTATTTATTCTTCCTTTTTCTTCTATTGGTCTCTATTTGAAAAAAAGTTGAAAATAAAAGGGAATATTAGGGAAAGTACCCATTTGAAAAATATATTGGTAAATGAGACCTGATAACTTGTCATCTTTTGAGGCCCTTCAGTCTAAATTAAAATCATAATGAAAAGACCAAAATACTCTTAATTGCACAGACTGAGAATTTAGTTGCACATAAGGAATATACGTTGCACATTATTAAAGTTTGATTGCATCTAACCTAAATTGCACATAACGAAAGATGAATTGCATAAAGCAAAAATTCAATTGCACATAAGAAAGATATATCACAAATAAGAAAAAATCAATTGTACTTAACTTATACATTGCACATAATGAAAGATAAAATGCGTATAGAGAGTTTAGTTACACATAAGAAAGATATATTACATATAAGGCAGTTTAGATTGCACATAGCATGCTTTGAACATAATAGAAGATAAAGTACACATATAGAAATTTTAGCTGCATGCAATGAAAATTTATTGCATATAAGGGAAGTAATGAGAGCCTTTATTGCCCACCATAGGGTTCTCAATAAAAAATAAATCCAAACAACACAATATAATACAAAACTTGGGTCATTTTACTTTGATGAGCTTTATTTGAGATCCTAAGCTAACCAAGCATTAAAAACAATAAATTGACAAGGAAAAAAGGTTTAGGGTTTTGAAAATTAGTCTTACTTTACTAATTATTAAAAATGTAATGGAATAAATCTAAACTACTATTTTTTATATTTTTGGCTATAAAAGTGGTATGGAAATGGATATATTAAAATGTATAATATAAATGTTCTTTGAAAATGGATTAATGACCTCCTTGTTCAAAATATTTTGGGAGTAAAAACAATACCTTAAGTCTTAATAGAAAACCCCAAAACACCGTTTGAGTTGATTATTTCTAGTACCATAGCTAATAAACACCTCTTGAGTTACTATTAAAAGCTACTCAGTGTGCAACTGTGATTAAATCAAATAACTTGCTTAACCCAGACATTAATAGAGTGCTCAACCGAGACATTAAAAAACAAGCTCAAATCAATTGTTTCACTCCCACTAACATGCCACTCAACCGAGACATTAAAAAACAAGCTCAAATCAATCGTTTCACTCCCACTAACATGCCAAACAGTGCAATATCAATAAACTCACAAAAGGGAATATATGAATATATAACATTCAAGCTACAAAATCCAATCACAATCACAAATGCTTAATTCAACGGAGATAATCAACCGCAATCTCAGTCTCCAATGAGCTCAGCCACACATAATTTCAGAATCTACTCCAATGAGCTCCTTCATACCGTCGGCCCTGTCAGCAAAGAAGAGGATGCAAGTGACGATGAAGATAAAGAATGTGGGAAAGGGACGGTGTTAACGGACTGGAGAGGAAAGCACAAGTGAGAGCGGAGAAACGGACGAAGGCCGTTGGGTTTTGAAGAGGAATAGAGACAGAGATCATGAATCTCAAAAGGAGTGAAGGAGAAAGAAAGAAAAGACGGACTGGAAGAAGAGGATTGACGGTGATGATGAAGGTGAACGGAAGAAGGGATAGGTTGAATGGAAGGTGAAGGGTGATGGTGGTGATGGAGTCCGTCGCTTCCTTATTCTACGGTCTTTCTCTTGTCCTTCTTAATAGAAGAAGAATTGAAGCAGGTGCCCTAAGCCTGTCTCCCAAAACGGCGAGTGTCATGTGCTGGTCCCCTTATGTACTTATTGAAATCTGCTGCTCCTTGCGTCCTTGCCTATAATTCATTAAGTCCTTCTCTTTCAGGTTCAGCTTTCACCTTCAATTTCTCCCAAATTTTTTACAATAAAATCTAAGATACTATGATATCATATTTTTCAAAAAATCAGTCAGTTAAAATAAATCATAAAAATATGATATTTTTGCCTCTTTTTTTTTAGCAATGTTTTCATCTCATCACAATTAATCTGATCAATCATAATAAATGTATTTAAGTACAATAAATGTGATAAAATCCTCAAATAACATATAAAAAATCATAATAAAATAAATACTTATCAGGAAGTTAGATTACACTGGACATGTTTTAAATACAATGGAAGATAAGTTGTATATAAATTTAATTGCACATAGGAAAGATATATTGTAACTTATTAAAGTTTGATTACACCTAACCTAAATTGCACATAATGGGAAAAAAAGAATGCCTAGATTGAGAATTTAGCTGCACATAGAAAAGATATATTGTACGTTATTGAAGTTCGATTGCGCATAGCCTAAGTTGCACATAATGAAAAATAAATGCACAAACCAAGAATTCAGTTGAACATAAGAATGATATATTGCACATAAAAAAAAATTTAGTTGCACTTAACTTAAATTGCACATAATAGAAGACAAATTATACATACGAGAAGTTTAGTTGCACGCAAGAAATTATATTACAGAAAGTTTAGTTGCACCTCATGTAATTTGCACATATTGTACTTATATTCAAAGCATGTTGTGTGCAATTTAACTTGCCTTACGTGTAATATCTTTCTTCTATACAACTAAACTCTCCATATATGCATTTTATCTTTTATTATGTGCAACTTACAGGTTAAATGCAATTGACTTTTTATTACATGCAATATATCTTCCCTATGGGCAACTGAATTTTTGTTATGTGCAATTTATCTTTCACTATATACAACTTAGGTTAGATACAACCAAATTTCAGTAATATGCAATATATATTCCTTATG